TGGCCGGCGGCGGAATCGGGACGCCTGGGGCAGAGCAGCTTGGGTGCTGCTGGGTTGGTCCAGTAGCGCTGAGGAGCGGCGGCGCTACTGGACCAACCCAGCAGCACCCCAGCTGCTCTGCCCCAGGCGCCCCCCAGTCAGCCGCTGCCGAAACTGACCAGTGGCTGCCGGGCTTCCTGGAATCAGCCGCTGATCAGTTTCAGCAGCAGCTGACTTGGGGATGCCTGGGGTTCTTAAGTTGAATCTGTATGTAAGTCAGAACTGGCATCCAGATTCAACTTACGCTGTCGAAACTGATCAGTTTCAGCAGCGGCTGAATCTGGACGCCAGTTCCGACTTACATACAGATTCAACTTAAGAACAAACCTACAGTCCCTATCTTTCGGCCGCTGCTGAAGCTGATCAGTTTCAACAGTGGGTGAATCTTGACGCCAGTTCTGACTTACATACAGATTCAACTTAAGAACAAACCTACAGTCCCTATCTTGTACGTAACCCGGGGACTGCCTGTAATGGCCATTATTCTGAAATAACTTTGCAAGCGTCTACACAGCAATAGCATTATTTTGACATAATTTTGAAATAACAGGAGGCTTATTCTGACTTCTGTAAACCTCATTCTAAGAAGAATAATGCCTATTCCGAAATAGTTATGTGCCCTGCCCTGCTGACTGGAAGCCCCACCCACACTCACCCAGGGCTGACCTTGCTGAGTAGGTAGGGCAGCAGCAGGCAGAGGCAGACAAGGGAGGAGCGGGCAAGGAGGGGGGGGCATGGCAGCTGCAGAACCAGTTCTATAAACCATTATTATTGTATAAATTAGTATGGTATAATAAAATCATTTTTACCATTCACTGTTTCCACTCATATTTTTCATTAAGCCTTTCTTATGCACACTCATTGCATGACTAGTTTAAACTCCTTTATATTAAACTGCAGCAAGGGAAGTTTAGGTTGGACTTTAAGAAAAACGTCCCAACTGTCAGGATAGTTAAACACTGGACTAAATTGCCTGAGGAGGTTGTGGAATCTCCATCACTGGAGATATTTAAAGAGCAGGTTAGACAGACAGCTATCAGGGATGATCTTCTAGACTAGACAGTGCTTGGTCCTGCTCTCAGGGCAGGGGACTGGACTTGATGACTTCTCGAGTTCCCTTCCAGTTCTAGTGTTCTATGATTTAAAAAAATCGCAGTCTAAATTTACAAAAATAGCACCACAGAAATTCCTGTGTACCAGCCTGAATAGTTACTTACAAGTAACAACAAAGTTTTCTGTAGCTGAAAGATTAGGGAACAAAGTTGTTATTTTTCTATTTTTCCAGTTTGTTTGTGCATTTGAGAGCATTTGGCATACAGTCCCTTTTGTTGTTTTGTTCATGGTCATTTGTGCTTTCTTTCTCTTTATCATGCTTGATGACATCACACTCAGACACTGATCTG